CATTCTCCTCAGGAAAACACTAGCTTTGGACCACTGACTCTAACAGGATTCGGCCTACTCACTCTTTCAGTGCTTGACTCACATTTTTGTAATAAAAAATAGCTAGTTCTTTTTTAATATTTTTGATATGGATGCCTCATGCAGTAAAGTCCTTGATGTTTTATATATTTAATTTAATACTGGTTTTAGTTTCATCTCTTGAATATTGCCAACTTTGGAAAAACGTTTTGAAGAACGAAATGTGCGTATTTTAAATCATCAATAAAACAAGATGGAAGTGTTTCAGCATATTCCTTCTCCCTTCCTCTTCCCTAAAGATGATGGAACTGTGAGAGCGATCGGTGTGGAGAACGTGGAAGAAGAGCAGGATTGTATCTCGGAGGAATCGCTTGAGGCTTTGCCTGGAGGATCTCAAGAGAACATTCCTTTCATAACAGAGACCGTTGAAAGTCAGTATCTTTCTATATAAATAAAAATGTAATATTTGTATGTGGGATTAACATAACTCAAAAACTACTGGACGAATTGACACCAAATTTGGACACAATACACATATCAGGCCAATGAGTGACCATCACTCATAAAAACACTGAAAAACACAGCAGAAGAGACTTAAAAAGCCAAAAAACAGAAGTACATTACAATGCATGTACAAAACCATATATATATATATATATATATATATATATATATATATATATATATATATACACACACACACACACACATACACATACATACACATATACACACACAAAACACATATACACAGACGGCCACAGCAAGGGATGGCAACGGATAGCTAGTCTATATAAATAAAAATATAATGTTCGTTTGCCAAGGCTGTGGGTAGGGTCATGCAAATTCCACACCAGTGGAGGGAGTAAGAAACACTGGGATGTGGTGGAGGAAACACATAAAACCTAGGATGAAATTGTCCCTGTATGAAAGCCTTCACTTGGGTGGGGACAGTGTGGTATTTGTGACGGTCATTGTCAGGGCTCTTGTACATGTTCATGACACTCACTATGACCTGTAATGTCATTCGAAGGAGGGCCAGTTTCATTGGAGGGAGGGCCATTGGTATTTCCTGTTTTGTTGTCTGTGTAAGTGGGCATCCCCCCCCCCCCACACACACACACACACATTTTCACTTTTATTATGTGTATAGAAGAAGATACACACACGCTCACACAGGCACACACACATCCATCCGAGAAGCAATGGTATAAGACAGGAGATGATGATGATGATGATGATGATGATGATGATGATGATAAGAGAAGGTCACCTTACTGGGATCTGCATGCCTTATTCGCCAATACATCACACACTCCAACACACTTGGGAAGTGTCCGACATGTGATCCAATAAAACAGCCAGCAGAGTGATTTTGTCTGCTGTGGACCCACCTTGTTGTGTTTCTAATAATAAAAATAATAATAATAATAATAATAATAATCTTTATTTATATTTCACCTTATCACCCCAAATGGACTCAGGGTGGATTTTGAACACAACAACAATACACCCATAGTAATGAAATTGGCAACCCAACATGTCAAAACAAACTAAAATTAAATAAAAAAACACAACCTGTTATATCAGACATAAGACAAAGCATCAAATATTGAACAGAAGCATCAATTTCCCAGTTCCTTGGGGGCAAGTAGATTGAGATGTCAGTCATTTATGAATCTGATGTGTCTCCAAAATCAGGTCTTTGTGTCTCCTGTTATAACTTATTTATATCTCATTCTTTCTCTCTCTCTGTCTGTCTTTCCTACTAGGTGATGGTTGGGATAGTGGGAGTGAGTGGGAACCATATGATGTGTTGTCAGAAGATACAGAGAATGAAGACGCGAGGCATGACTTTCAAAGTGAAGAAGGAGCAGAGACAAATGAGGAGGACCAAGATGAAGATTGGAGAAATAATCCCAATTGCCAGGGCAGTGACTTCAATGGAGTGCCAGTCAAACCTAAAACATACAAAGGCAAGAGAAAGAATCAGTGCAAGGTGTGTGGGAAGAGCTTCACTCGTAAGGCAAGCCTTAAGGTCCACCAGAGGATCCATACAGGGGAGAAGCCCTACAAGTGCACCGTCTGTAGCAAAGGCTTTTGTGACAAAACAAGCTTCCTAAGGCATCAAAGAATCCATACGGGAGAGAAGCCGTACAAATGCCCAGAGTGCGGGAAGAGTTTTAATCGGACCACAAACCTTATCACACATCAGAAGACTCATGTGGAAACCAGAGAGAAAACCTTTCACTGCACCAGCTGCACCAAGAGTTTTTACAACAAGTACAGCCTTAAGACGCATTGGCGGAGTCACACCGGGGAGAAACCGTACAAGTGCTCCAGCTGTAGCAAGAGCTTCTGCGACAAATCCAACCTCGAAGCGCACTGGCGAGTGCATACCGGGGAGAGGCCTTTTGAGTGCACCGAGTGTGGAAAAAGCTTCAGCGATCGCAGGACCCTTCTCAGACATCAGAGGATCCACACCGGGGAGAGGCCCTACCGGTGCACCGAGTGCGGGAAGAGTTTCAACGACCTCGCAACCCTGCTCCGGCACCAGAAGATCCACACGGGAGAGAAGCCCTACAGATGCAACGAGTGCGGGAAGAGCTTTAACCAGAGCTCGCACCTCATCAGGCACCAGAACACCCACGACGCCAAGCGCCACAAGAGCAGCGGTCGTGGGGCAAAAGCAGCCGTTGGAACCAATATCTTTTTGGACATCGGAGGTTTCACACAAGAGAACTATTATGGCTACACTCACCCACCGGAACCCTTTCGCTGGCCGCTTACGCCCTACACATCCTCCACAGAGGCAGAAAGTGTGGGCTTGCCTAATTTGTGGACTATCGAGGAGACGTCTGTTGGCGATCAGGCCATCTTAGTTGTGAAAGAAATAACGGAGGACAGGACCGTGGCACTATGAATGTCCGGGGCATGGGAGGTGTTGTCATCTAGGCCCATACTTGTCAGGTGTGTCATTCCCCCAGTCCAAACAAGAAGCCATACATACATCGGGACTCTTTTTACAACTTGTGTGTTTTCAAGGATGGAGAAAGAGGATGAGAGTCTTTCAAAAGGATGGTGTTAGATGCAGTTACAAAAAGGTATAAGAGCTTGACGTACTTATACGCTCCGCAACGCAGCTTGCTAACTCCTTCATTTGTTATTACTGGGGAGAGCGGAAAATGCGAGTATGATTGCCTGAGGATGGAAGAAAAAGAGATAGATGGAAAAAATACTGAGACTCTTAATGGTCTTCAGTCAGAAGCTCCAAATAATCAGTTTACTTTCCGCTTCCAAAAAACTTATGATAATCTCCTTTTCCTCAAACAAAGTTGAAAGATTGCTTCAACTAAGTGAATGAAACAGTAATCTTCTCTTGAGAAGAACGAGTGACAGTCAAAAGTACTAGAAACACCTTGCTCTCCTCACCTTCCCATTTTTTGGGTCATATTTAGTACATTCGTGAGGGTGATGATGATCATTAGTTCTCTATCCTTAAGTCGTTTGGACAGGCACTCAATGCTAATGGGATGTTTTTCAAGAACTAATTGTTTCTCCTTTTTGGTAAATTGACACATTTGTAAGTTGATGATAGAATTTTCTATGCCAAGTATCTCCAGGTAGGTGGAGGGGTGACATCCCAAACAAGGCTTGTTCTTTTGTTCTTTTCTGTGCAAGACTGAAAAAATAAATGTGTTTCAGATTCACATTTTAGTGGGAGGGCACCTAAAAAGATATAGACTAAGTAACAGGGTTTTTAACATGTTGTCGAAGGCTTTCATGGCTGGAATCACTGGGTTGCTATGGGAGTTGGAGTCCAAAACACCTGGAGGGCCCAAGTTTGCCCATGCCTGCTGTAGCCCATGCATTGCAGTGGGTTTTCCATGTCCTTAAACTGCTGAAACCCGTTTGCAGCTAAGCTGCAAGTCTGCATAGACTGACAAAAGAGTAAGCCTTACTTCTAAACTGTTTGTAGGATCTAAGTAGCAATGGAAAATAACCACTCACAAGCAGACTTGCTTTGAAATGGATATATTGCTTTTATCTCTGCATAACATGGTTCCCAGCGCCCTATGCTGGCTTCGGAATGTCACAGACAGAATTGATTCAGCCAGGATGTCACGGAGGGAATTTGTGATGTCTTCCTGCCGTCAGAAATTGACTCCTGATATAAACAAACAATGGCTAACAGTGCATTTAGATTAGGGGGGATTGTGGTCAGAAGTCAAGGAGACAATCTGATCCAGTTTGTCTACCCATTGAGTTCAACGGGATTTACTTTCAGATGAGTTAGAGCAGGATGTGCATTTTTGGAGTTCTCCCAATGTTGGACTACAACTCCCAGCACCCTTCCCATTGGTTGCCCTGTTTAGGAATGCTGGGAGCTACAGTTGTGGCAGTTCCTGCCTCTGGTGTAGAAAAGATATCAGTCTCCTGTGTCCATAATTTTTGGAGAGTGACGGTTTTACAACAGAGACAGGGCTTTGTGCATGGGGGAAGTATGCAAGGACTTCTATAAAGGAAGGAGTTGCCATGAATACTTTTTAAACAAAGATTTCTTTTATTGCAGTTTTCAGTCTGAGAGGATATATCAACATTTTTACAGAACTTTTACACAAAGAACAACATTGGACATACAGATTCTATGCAACTACGTTAGATTCACAATTACATGGCTAACGAACAAGCAAAGGGGCAATTGCATTTTTACCCAGCATTCACACCACATGTACATGCATCCATCACCATTCATGCATATATTACCATACCCTTTACTCCCTCCTTGGAGAAGAATACCTGTTAGGCCAGATCCTGCCTCCCTGCAGCCTTCCAATGCACAGTTCCAAAACTTCCATAATACCAAAATGCCAAGGATGAGATCCCTGTTCTCCATACAGCAGAACCTGACTCCCTGCAAACGTATCTCCTTCCTCTTCCCTTGAGAAAGAACCCCAAAGTGTGCAGAATCTTGCTTTCCCATAGCAGATCTGACACTCTATGGTATACTATCTCCTTCCCAATGGAGCAGAGCATAGAAGGTGAACAGCGTCTCTGTCTGACACAATTTGAGAATTATTAGAGTGAGTCTGTTATAGGATTTTTTTTCTGATGTAGTCAATAACTCTTGTTGAAATTATCTTGAGTCTTCACCTCCTGGCATAGGTGTTTGTCTTGAACCATTGTGTTTTGGGTTTGACTTGAAAGAGCATTGTCTTTGATTAATGTAAACAGAGATCGTTTCCTTGAGAGTTAATCCGATTTCTGGTCAGCAAATGTTGACAGATGTAAACATTTCTCTTATCACTGTCACAATTTACTTTTTCAGTTCTCATTAGCAGGTTTTAATTACAGTCCCTCAAGCAGGCAGGTAATGATTTAGTCATTGCAGGCCTTAATCTTTTGGAATGGTGTCTCCAAAATTATTAACTCCCATTCATTCATCTTTCATTCAGTTCATTCATACCCACATATCAATCAAATCTGCACATTATATTTCTTGTGACAGAGTTGCTTCTCCTGTGTGGGATTTTCTCGAGAGAAGTGGGAGAAGCATATGCTTCAAGGTGACAAAGCTGAGCCCCAACGTGAATTGTAGGAGCTGGTTGTTAAAGCATGAACATATTGTTGGTTATTTATCACTAATGTTAATGTATAGGATGAGGGACACAGGGCACTTTCGCTTCAGGACACTAACTTTTTGGGGTGAGGCTGTGTTTATTCACAATGTAGTTCAGACTTCTGAGTCTGTCGTCCTCAAATCAGATTTTGGGGAAATTACCTCCTGGAATAGTTCAAGCTGGAAATGTGACTTCGGGAGCAGCGGTGTAAGGCTGGAAGAGGCAATTGGGTCTATGGACCAGTTTTGGATGAGGAAATCTAATTTTCTAGAAATCTAATGATTCTAAAACAGCTCAAAAAAACCTACAACAACCCAATCTTAAGTAACTTTCATATTCACGATCGCTACTAGTCAGTTGTAACTCCTGCAAACTTTACAGGGAGAGAAAGAGGTCCATTTTGCTTGCATTTGGAGCATATCCGAATGACAGTTCTGTCCAGAGTGGGAGGGATCTGACCATGAAAAGCTAGTCAAGTAACAACGTTTTACTTCATTCTAGTTCTTAAAAATACTTTTTTGCTGCTGCATAAAACATCCTAATGAAAAAAATATGCAACGGCTTAGAAAAGGAAGGCAGGGACAGCAAAGCTTGAAGAACAGACCCCAAAACATCATGACTCTCTACTAAGTCTCGTTGCATGGAAATGGATATTACAGTCAATGGATGGTGTGTCACCTTTGAATGTCAAAACCTGCACATGGATGATATTTCTGTGGTTCTGCTGTATCACATACATTTTGAATGTCCTGTTTTTGTTTTTCTGAATGTCCAGATTTTTTTTATCTTATAGTTGTTTGTACTTAGTTTATTTTTCTGATATTTGTGTTACATGGAACCCTTCTCATGTTAACCTCACTGCCTTTTCTCTTCTGTTGCTTAATAGTCCAGTCCTCTGTATCTACTGTGGTTAGAGCCTTGCAGAAGTAAAAAATAAGGTTTTTAACAGGAGAGAACACCTTTTTAGGAATCTCTAGGGCCTCCAGCATAATTCTGTGTCCATTACCAATGCAATAACACTAAATGACAAAAAAGTTGAAACCTCTGGTGCGCAATGGGTTAAAATCTTGTGCCGGCTGGACTGCTTACTGAAAGGTTGGTGGTTCGAATCCGGGGAGTGGGGTGAGCTCCCATCTGTCAGCTCCATCTTCTCATGCGGAGACATGAGAGCAGCCTCCCATAGGATGGTAAAACATCTGGGTCCTTGGGCAACGTCCTTGCAGACGTTTCTCAAGTCGTTCCTAACACGAAAAAAAACCTAAAAGTTGCTAGAACATATTTTAATTGAATCTGCAAATATCAAATCTGGAAATGAGGGCCGGCTGTAATGTTAGCAAAGCTACTCTGGAGTATCTTTCAAGGGAGGTTTCTCATAATGTTAAAATATGAGTAAAAGCGACTACAATAATACACTTTGTGTATAATCTGCGCTAGGGATTACAGTATACACAAATATAGGCAAACATTCATTGCCTTTTATACATAAACAATGACATACAATACACAAACAAAGTTTCCTTTCCATCTTCTGTGTTTGGAGACAATGCTCAACTCTGGTCATGGAGAGGTGTTCTTGCTCCATTTTTCCATGCTGAGGAGCCTGTTGTCCATAGACCCACCTGGTCATGTATTGCTGGCATGGCTGCAGGGCACCTTTTACCTTCCTGCTAGGGTGGCACTTATTGATCTACTCACATGTTTTTGAACTGCTAGGTAGGCAGAAGCTAGGACTGACAGCAGGAGCTCACCCCAACCTGCGGCTTTGAACTGTCAACAAGTTTTTCTGGTCAGCAAGTTTTTCTGTAGCTAGCAGTTTAACCCGCTGAGCTACCGTGGCCAAATAAATTTGGAAATGTGGAAAGCTCATCATGATCCTTTGGGTAACCGTTTGAAAAAGCTCACCGACTTGATTACGACTGTTCCTTTATTCCTAGTGATCTTGCATCCATGGATTCAATCATCCATGGCTTGAAATATTTATAAACCTTGATTTTGCCATTTTATATAAGGGACACCCTTTTGCTACGCCATTGTATATAATGGGACTTGACCATCTACAGATTTTTGGTATCCCCAGGGATGTCCTGGAACCAAACCCCAGAGGACAGATAATAATGACCTACTATAGTCCGTTCTAAAAATTCTGCAACATTTCAAAGAAAACTATTTGTTCATGCAAAGTCCCTTGTGAGTGGGTCCGGGGTGGTGTTATGAGTCCTTCGGCTCGTTGATTTTCACAAGGCTCCCATTCCAGTTTCAGCCCTTCTCTAGGAACTGTGGATGCGTGCGCGTTTTAAAGTAGTTGGATGTTGTAGGCGGCTGCCTTTATTATGCATGGTTGCTTTGAGACTGTATGCCTATTTTTAGTGTATTGGCAAAATGTTCTGCAAATAAAGAATAACGGAATGGTCATTTCTCTCCACAATGTTACAATTCGGCCTGTTATTTAACCCTATTTAACAGACTGATCACACAGGATGAAAGCTGGGTCCATCCCTATGATCCTGAGACTAAAGTCCCGTTGATGCAATAGAAGCATCATGACTCACCGCCTCCAAAGAAGGCACATGCCCAACTCTCAGCAGGCAAGGTCATGCTCACAGTATTTTGGGACCAGCATGGACTAGTATGGATGGATTTCCTAGCAAAGGGTACCATGATCACTAGGGCATGCTATCCTTCACTGCTGCAGAAATTGTGGGAGGCCATCAGAACCAAGAGACAATGTGGCATGCTCACCAAAGGTGTCTGCCTTCTGCAAGACAATGCACCGGTTCACAACTCCAGTTGCCCAAATGGAAGAAGCATGCTCCTGTGGCTTGGAAACTTTCCCACATCCTCTTTATTCACCCAACCTTGCACCATTGGACTTCCACATCTTTCCAACAAGGAAGTTATTTTTGAAGAGCAAGCATTCTTCAGATGATGGGACTCTGATTTCCAGTCACAATGTGGCTTTTGGAGCAACTTGTTGACTTCTATAAGTGAGGTGTTTACAGTTGTTTAAAAAGATGGGAGAAGTGTGTGTCCCTATGTGGCACTGAAGGCAAATTTCATTGTCATCAAAGTGGTATCATCTGCATATCTAAGGTTAATGTTTCTTCCAGCCATTTTAACCCCAGCCTTGCATTCATCAAGCCCCAAACATTGCATGATGTGTTCTCCATACAAGTTGAATAGATTGGGTGAGAGTATGCAACCCTGCCGTACGCCTTTCCCAATCTTGATCCAGTCTGTTGTTCCAGGGTCAGTCCTTACTCTTGCTACTTGGTACAGGTTCCTTAGGAGACAGACAAGGTGATTTGGTCTCCCCAGACCACCAAGAACTTGCCACATTTTTTATTTCCCTCCCACCTTTCCCCCCAAATTAGGACTCTAAAGGCAGGAATAGGAAGGAAGGAAGGAAGGAAGGTCCACTTTTTCTGTACTTGTCAAGCTGCTCCAATGGCTACAGGTAGCATTTCAAGGGTTAAAGTAAGAGAGAAGGCAATTCCTAGAGAGACATGAGAAAGCCAGGGGAGGAACTACTTCCTGTTTCCGGCGTCCCTTCCTTTTTGAGTTCCCCTCAGAAAATGCAGTTCTAAAGAAAGGAGTTCCTGGGATTTTTTTTAGCCCTTATGAATACCTTATATTGGAGGTGGTTGGGAGGTTGCATAAAAGGTGGAAAGTTGGGTGGATCACAGAATCTTAAGAGTTGGAAGATACCTCATGGGCCATCCAGTCCAAGCCCCATTCTGCCAAGAAGCAGGAAAATCACAGTCAAAGCACCCCCGACAGATGGCCATCCAGCCTCTGCTTAAAAGCCTCCAAAGAAGGAGCCTCCAAAACACTCCAGGGCAGAGAGTTCCACTGCTGAACAGCTCTCCTTCACGAAATCGGACTGGGCTGTGGCACAGCTAGTTAGTAGCAAGATGCATTAAATCACTACTGACCATCAGTAGTGGTCATGAGTTCGAAGCCAGCCCGGGTTGGAGTGAGCTCCTAACCATTAAGTCTAGCTTGCTGTTGACCTATGCAGTCCGAAAGACAGTTGCATCCACTCCTACGTACCATCTCATAATGGTCATCTGGGGAGGCCCTGCTCTCGCTCCCGTCAACAGCGCAAATGCGTCTGGCGGGGATGAGAGACAGGGCCTTCTCGGCTGTGGCTCCCTGCCTATGGAACACACTCCCAAATGAGGTAAGATCTGCTCCCTCCCTCCTGGCTTTTAGAAAGAAATTAAAATCATGGTTTTGGGACCAGGACTTCGGACAGTAGATGTATGTAGAGTTTAGAGGACATTGACTAGAGTGATAATATGACTGGCAAGACTGTTTTTACTATTTATTATTTAAACGATTGCTTATGTACTGTCTAATTATGATTTATGCTTAATTGTGGTTTTATTATTGTAAGGAGCCCCCGGTGGCACAGCGGGTTAAACCCCTGTGCCGGCAGGACTGAAGACCGACAGGTCGCAGGTTCGAATCCGGGGAGAGGCAGATGAGCTCCTCTATCAGCTCCAGCTCCTCATGCGGGGACATGAGAGAAGCCTCCCACAAGGATAATAAAACATCAAATCATCCAGGTGTCCCCTGGGCAACGTCCTTGCAGACGGCCAATTCTCGCACACCAGAAGCGACTTACAGTTTCTCAGGTCGCTCCTGACACGACAAAAAAAATTGTAACTGTTATGAATTGGCATCGCGTCAGTGTCCAGTGTAAGGCATTGAATTTTGCCAGCTATGTGTAAACTGCTTTGAGTCCCCCTAGGGGTGAGAAAAGCGGTATATAAATACTGTAAACAAACAAACAAATAAATAAATAATATCTTGGGAATCGTCTACTATCGTTCTTCTTTGTATCCTTAACAAACAACAACACAAAGTGTGATTTAAAATCAGGTTTGCCTTTTTATCTAGACTGAGAAATAAAGAGTCAACCAATAAGTGCTACTGGAAATCATAGGCATTATTATTAACACTACTACAGTAATTCGATAACAAAAGCATCTGTATACATACATACACACGCACACACAAGCGGTGGGTGTGAACTAGTTGCCAAATTGGAAATGGGAGAGGGCTTCTGTACCTTTAAGGATGTACACAAGATGGAATTCCAGCAAGTGTTGCTTGTTACATGGATTGAATCAACATTGTCATGGGATGCATTGACTATATGGTCAATGTAGGCCTATATAATGCTGTTCGTACTGCTCTATATGGGTCTACACTGGCCATATAATGCATTATATGGCAATGTGGGTAGATCCAGCCTTGGCATATGCATAGCAACATCCTCTTCATAGGCAACGCTTAAAGCAGGCACGGGCCAACTTTGGTCAGGTGTTTTGGACTTCAACTCCCACAATTCTAACAGCTACGGCTGTTAGGAATTGTGGGAGTTGAAGTCCAAAACAACCTGGAGGACCAAAGTTTGCCCATGCCTCTTATAGCCTTCTCCAGGCTTCATGTGGCAACCCTATAAGTGAAAGAAATATGTTTTTCACTCCCTCAAAAGTAAATACTGGTCCTTTTCATCCTTTTCCAAATTTCCCATCGGAGGGAGACTTGGCTCTGTGTGTGGCTTCTCCTCGTGGTCCTCCGCCTCCATTTCCAACTCAACGTTGCCGCCTTCTTCAGCCACTTGTACATTGGAAATACTGTTTTCTCTGCAGCTGAAGTCCTCTTTCTGCAGACCAGTCGGTGTCCGGTGGGTGTCCTGATGCTTGTACAAACTCGACGTGTGGTTGAACCGCCTCCCACAAACCAGGCACGCATAAGGCTTCTCTCCAGTGTGGATCCTCTCGTGCCTCACCAAGTCGGCTTTGTCCCTGAATCCTTTCCCACAGATGAAGCACCAGTGTTTCTTCTGCCCTCTGCGGGTGAGGTTCTTTCTCGTGTTCTTCAACACTCCAGCCATGGGTTTGGGATCATCGCTCCCCGTTGGCCAAGTATCCAAGGAGCCTCCGTTGCTAAAAACATGAACCGGATCCTCTTGTGATGCTGCCGGTACCGTGTAGCTGTTTTCGGGGCTCACACCGACTTCCTCGTTGCCTGTGAAAAGGAAGCCAGAGCAAAAGAGAATCTGAGGGAAGTGGAATAATAACTACTAAATTATAAAACTTTATTCATACCCCGCCACCATCTCCCCAAAGGAGACTCGGGGCGGCTAACATGAGGTCAAGCCCAAGAATTACAATAAAACAAAGTAAAATACAAACAGGCAAAAATAACATCAAAGCAAAATGCAAACAATAACAAAATCTATATAAATAAAAATGTAATGTTCGTTTGTGGGATTAACATAACTCAAAAACCACTGGATGAATTGACGCCAAATTTGGTCACAATACACCTAACAGGCCAACGAGTGAGCATCATTTGTGTTCACCGGAGCAGCATTCAAGTAGCATACAACCTCCTTGTTATGCCAGTTCCACTGGCTGCTGGTTTGCTACTGAGCACAACTCAAAGTGCTGGTTTTAGCCTATAAAGCTCTAAACGCTTCCAGCCCGGCTTACCTGTCCGAACATATCTCTCCCTATGAACCATCTAGGACTTTAAGATCATCTGGGGAGACCCTGCTCTCAGTCCCGCCTTCTTTACTGGCACAACTGGTGGGAATGAGAGACAGGGCCTTCTGAATGGTTGCCCCTTGGCTGTGGAAATCACTCCCTATGGAAGGTGAAGACATGGCTTTTTGAACAAGCCTTTGGGAAACTAGTGTAATAGATAAACACAGAACTATATGAAATTTAATACTCGAATGGCTTAGACAATGTTTCTGGACGACGAGGCAAATAGTGAAGGTAATTGTTTTATATGTTTTTAAAGGTTTTAATGTATGTGTTTTATAATTCTGTTTTAAATGTTTATTGTAATTTTTACATTGTTTTAATGGCATGAAATAGCTGCCTATGTTGTAAAGCCACCTTGAGTCACCTTTGGTTCGAGAAAGGAAGGGTAGAAATAGCATAAATAAATAAATAAATAAATAAATAAATAATAACAAAATGCAGCATGCTATTGTTTGGCAAAAGATGGGATATATACTGTACACGCAGGTATTTTGAGTGTACAATATATACATGCTCCCTCGCTACTTCGCAGTTCACTTTTAGCGGACTCGCTATTTCGTGGTTTTTAAAAAATATTAATTTAAAATATATATTGCGGTATTTTCGCTGTTTTGCGGGTTTTTGCTACCGCTCTCCGAGGCGCTTTCCCTCCTCAGTCCTCCCTCCCTCCAGCCTTTCCTTCCTTCCTTTCCTTCACTTTATTTTAAGTTTATAAAGACTTAAAATAGTGTATAACTACTAAAATAATGTATAAATATTAAAATAAATAAAATGTAATATAATAAATATTAATATAAATATAATAATAATATAATAAATATTATATTATATTATATATTAAAATAAATATAGCGTCCCTACATCGCGGTTTTTCACTTATTGCGAAAGGTCCTGGAATGTAATTCCCGCAATAAGTGAGGGAACACTGTACTGCACACTCAAAATACTCCAAAACCTAAAACTGATCACATGTTTTATGATAAAACCTATTAGGAAACTCTATTTATGACCTAGGAACTAAAGTCGTGTTACATAGTGTTGCTGGCCAGACCCAAAGGGCTCCTCTTCACTCTGGAGAGAAGCCGCAGGTCTCAGAGGGATAAGGCTAGCCCTGTCCTTACCTGCGTATTGTCCAACGTCCAGATGTTTCCTCATGTGCCGGTTAAGAGCGGGTTTCTGGGTGAAGCTCTGCCCGCACTCCAGGCAGCTGTAAGGCCGCTCCCCCGTATGAACCGTCTGGTGCCGAAGGACCTGGGAAACGTCCCGGAAGCTCTTCCCGCACTCCAGGCATTCGGGCCGTTTGCGGCCTCCCGTGTGGTTCCTCGGAGGCCGGATGGTGACTTCAAAACCTGTGCGGCCACAAGCAAAAGCCATCTTATATAGACAACCCAATAGAAAAGGAGGTGTTTGAAAAGGAGGCAAGCATGTGGTAAATCTGAGATCTATAGAACGATTCAAATCTTGAACCCTACTTTTAAAAAAGCTCAGGAGTAATCCAAGAAATTATTAAGACGAGAATCAACTTCAAGTCAGAACTTCTATTACTAGGACTGTTAGATGATCAAACGAGAGAAAACTGCAGTATAGGTTAACAAGAAGAATCCTATACGCTCAACCGTGGAAAAAGACAGGGACACACCAAGTATGTGAGACTGGACAATGAAGATGTGAGAACTAATAGAAATGGACAAGTGTGTGTGTGAGAGAGAGTGTGTGTGCATATACTAGCTGTATCTGCAACGCGTTGCTGTGGTCAACCTTCCCTCCCTCCCTCTTTCTCTTCTTCTTTCCCTCCTACCTTCCTTTTCTTCTTTCTCCTTCTCTACCTCTTTCATTCCTTCCCCTTTTTCTTTCTTTCTCTTTCCTCCTTCTCCCTCTTCTTTCTTCTTCCTTCTTTTTGCTTACATTTCCTTCACTCCCTTTTCCTCTTCCTTCGCTCCCTTTTCTTCCTTCCTTTTTTTCTCTTCTCCTTCTCTATTCTTCCTTCCCCCCTTTTATTTTCCTTCTGCTTTCTCTTTTTTCCTTCTCTACCTATTTCCTTCCTTCCTTCGCTTTTTGCTTACATCCTTCCTTCTCTCTTTCCTTCACTCCCTTTCCCTCCTTCCTTCGCTCCCTCTTTCCTTCCTTCCCTTATTTTCTTTCCTTCTCTCCTTCCTTCCTTCTCTACAACTTTCCTTCCGTCAACTTTTCTTTTCCTCCTTTCTCTCCTTCTTTCCTTCCTTCACTCTTTGCTTCCATGCTTCCTTCTTTATTTCCCTCCCTCTTTTCTCTCTCTTTCATTTCCCCCTTCCCTTTTTTCTGTATTGTCATTTAGCTTTTTTGGGTTTTTAAGTCCTTTCTGCTGTCTTTTTGTGTGATGGTCACTCATTGGTCTGTTAGGCATATTCTGTCTGACGTGTGATCAGATACAAAAGCCAGAATAGTGATCTTGTTTTCTGTGTACTAGTCTTGTTGTGTATCAAATGATGATGATGATGATAATAATAATAATGTGTTGTCGAAGGCTTTCATGGACAGAATCACTGGGTGGCTGTGAGTTTTCCGGACTGTATGGCCATGTTCCAGAAGCATTCTCTCCTGACATTTCACCTGCATCTATGGCAGGCATCCTCAGATGTTGTGAGGTCTGTTGGAAACTAGGAAAATGAGAGAATGCTTCTGGAACACAGCCATACAGCCTGGAAAACACAGCAACCCAATAATAATAATAATAATAATAATAATAATAATAATAATAATAATAATGACTGCCCCATTACACTATTACAGTTTTTCCCAGTTTTGTGGTAAAATTAGGTGCCTTGGCTTATATTTGGGTCAGTTTATACTTGAGTATATACAGTATTCAGATTCCAAGACACCTCAAGAAGTAGTAAATGAAAACAGAAAGAACCAGAAATACCCTCAGGAGATAGCTAAGTGTTCACAATAAAGTAAGTATAGAAAAGAAGCGGGGACTATGGGGATTCTAGGACGCATAATCGAAAAATCCCTCATTTCCAAACTAGATGAAAACTGCACCTTTGGATGTGTACCTGGGAAATCCTTGTCTTCCGAATGCTTTCTCAGGTGCCGATTGAGAGCCGGCTTCTGAGTGAAGCTCTGTCCGCACTCGGAACAGGCGTACGGCTTTTCCCCCGTGTGAACTGTCTGGTGCCGAAGGACGTGGGAAAGGTCCCGAAAGCTCTTCCCACACTCCGGGCATTCGGGACGCTTGCGCCCAGAGTGCTGCGCCTTTTGGTGCCTCGCCAGTTGGAAGGCGTCCAGAAAGCTTTCTCCACATTCGAGGCACCAGTGCCCGTGCTCCTCCAGCCGCACTACTGTCTCGTACACGCCTTCACTGCAGAGGGTGGCCTCTTCCCAGCCCTCCATTGGCTCCAATCCATCCTCCATTGGCTCAAGCTCCTGGCCATTTTCGAGCAAACCGGACTGTCCTGGCAAAGTCCCGAAGAGAACGGGCAGCTCAGAAACCCCTTGGTGATGAGATGCATCCACCTTATTCCCATTCGTGGCTCTCTCGCTGGAGGAAAGGGCATACGCATCCAGGCATCTGATGTTCCCTGGAACAGAAAAAGAAACAGGGTGAGACTGAGTAATCAAGATGTAAACAACTATAAGGATAAACAGTTGCACTACACAGCTGATTCATGTTCAGCTTATGGTCTAGTAAGACTCCTAGAACCATGTACTGTTTATTGAAGCATGTAAGAAATCAGTGAGTGTGTGTGTGTGTCAACTGTAAAATAAGATACATGAAGCTGATTGCTCAGGCAATGCCCAGGGAGCAGGCTGAGCCTGGGACTTTTGGTGACTGTTACATTTTTGTTCAGGCTTGAGCTATGCAGATGCTTAGAGAGAAGTAGAGAGATTGAGTTTGAAGTCTGGTCTCGCTTCATGAGCTGCTGAAAGGAAGACCATTTTAAATCTCTCATAAAAGGACATTATGTGAGTTGATGCAACTGATCACACTGTACATACGTTGTTTTGAACTACGAAGAATAAACTACTTGTTCTTTAGTATTCACCTGCATGGCATATTTTCTTTCTCTGGAAAAAACTGAGTATATACATCGTATTTCCTTATCACCCCTACAATTTACCCGATCAGCCCCACATATGTGGTTCTCAGACGTATTGTTTTGCTATTGTTTTATATGATATTTTTGGGTCTTGACCACACATAAAATGTGTTGTTCTCATGTGAGATTCCCAATACATTGTCTCTCACCTTCTGATACAATTTACAATCAAATAATATGTGTGTATCCTCAATTTCAGGTGCCCCACAGGTACAAATCCTTTCATTATAGGGGATGCTGTTAAATCTCCCATATCTGAGCATTGTCTCAAGCTGATCAAATCTAGCTCGAGTAAATGTAATAATAATAATAGAGTAAAATCATACATCTAACAAAAATAATAACCCAGTAAAAAAATAAATAACTTTGACTCAGAGTATAAGCCGAGGGGGGCTTTTTCAACCTTAAAAAGGGCTGAAAAACCTGGCTTATACTTGAGTATATATGGTATATAATGACATCTCTTATTTATTTATTTATTTACAGAATTTTTTATATTCCACCCTTCTCACCCTGCAGGGGACTCAGGGCGGATTACAATGTACACCTACCTATATGGCAAACATTCAATGCCAATTAGACATACAACATATATAGACATACACAGTATTTTTATGGCCTCATAAATTAGTTAATTAGCCTCCCCACACATAGGTGGTACCTAATTTTCCTACTTGACAGATGCAAATGTCTTTCGGGTTGCAAAGGTCGACAACAAGCTACACAAAATTGGCCGGAAGCTCACTCCGACCCGGGCTGGCTTCGAGATAAGACCCATGTCTGAACATGATGTTCGTGTATGGTTCATATACAGCTTATGCATATAGCCTGGGGGTAAGAAAAGGTGTCACTTTCTCAGTCAAGTTTCAGATTTCAGAATTCTGCAAAAGGGATACTCCACCTGTACTTCCAAACTCAGGAAAAAGCCTTTGGACTTACCAGATGACGTGAGCTCCTGCCGGCTGTCCAGCTGAGCTTCTCTGTGGACTTGTCTGTTCAGTGCAGACCCCAATGAAGTCCAGTCTGTCTCAGGGGAGACCACAACCACCTCCTCGCAGGGACCCAACACCTAAAAACAAAAACAAAGATGATGCTCTTCATGTAAACATCTCTGTGATGTTCAGTTTTTTTAGATACTGGCATACTGGGATAGGGGGCTAGTTACACACCCAACACTTGCTGCATTTTCCCTCCAAGAGCTCTTGTTCACCGGTTTCAGAAATGTGACATGAGAAAGAGAAGAGGGGGAGGCCTCCATTTATGTAAGGCTTTCCCCTCTTCTCTTCCCTTGGGACACAAGCAGTCTCTTTCTGACTGCTGGTGTCCCAAATGCTTCCCCAGCAGTCAGAACACTTTTTGCCCTTTTAGCCAATTAGCCAGTAAGGAAGGTGGAGATGTTGTCATACTGAGTTTTGTTTTGTTTTCGTTCTATTTGGTGGCAGCCAACAAGATTGCTCCTTGCTCACCATTGTGGCCTGTTTCCAGGATGCCTGCCCTGCTGTTCATTCCAACTGGCCATATGAGAGGTGAGAACCGCATGCCTGGTTTTCTTCTTAAATTCTGGACTATAGGACGGTGTCGGGATCAAGGGAAGTAATGCTCCCCTCCTATTCTACTTTGGTCAGACCTCACCTGGAATAGTACTGTGTCCAGTTCTGGGCACCACAACTCAGGAAGGATATGCACATGCTAGATCATGTCCAAGAAGGGCAACCAAAATGATCATAGGTTTGGAAACCATTGTTGGAATTCAATCTCACACACTGCCCAAGTCTCAAGTTCTCAATGAGGAACAGTTTAGTTAGTATAGCCTGAGGGTTTCTCTACCTCCATGCCTTCTGAATGACAGTTCAGAATATATCTTTTTCTTCTCGTCTTTCTGCTCTCATTCTGATTGGTTATTTAAAATACTTTTCTACCGCTAGAATTGGCTGTCTGCAAGGACGGTGCCCAGAGGATGCCCAGATGTTTTCTGTTTTACAGGTTCGCAGCTTGGGTGTGATCCTGGACTCATCGCTGAACCTGGAGCCCCAGGTTTCGGTGGTGACCAGGGGAGCATTTGCAGGTAAAACTTGTGCGCCAGCTGCGCCCGTACCTTGGGAAGTCTGACTTGGCCACGGTAGTCCACACTCTGGTTACATCCCATATAGACTACTGCAATGCACTCTATGTGGGGTTGCCTTTGAAGACTGTTCAGAAGCGCCAAATGGTCCAATGGGCAGCAGCCAGGTTGCTAACAGGAGCGGCGCTCAAGGAACACACTACTCCTCTGTTGCACCAGCTCCACTGGCTGCCAGTCTGCTACCGGGCACAATTTAATGTGCTGGCTTTAGCCTATAAAGCCCTAAATGGTTCCGGCCCAGGTTACCCGTCTGAACGAATCTCTCCCTATGAACCATCTTGGAGCTTAAGATCATCTGAGGAGGCCCTGCTCTCGTTACCGCCTTTGTCACAAGTAAGTTTGGTGGAGATGAGAGACAGAGCCTTCTCAGTGGTGGCCCCTCAGCTGTGGAACGCCCTCCCTAGGGATATTAGATTGGCCCCCTCCCTCCTAACATTTCGTAAAAAAGTTTAAACCTGGTTTTTTCGGCAAGCATTTGCAAATGCAGTGTAACAGGCAAATATAGATCTATGGAACGACTGGACGACATGAATTGGAAAATGATTTTAACAAGGAGACGCTGAGGATTTATCATTTTATCTCTTCCATTTGGCCTGCCCATCCTGTTCAATTTTATATTGTGTTAATTTGCTTTATTGCTTTGCTACTATATTTTCTGATGCAAGTTTTGTTTTTTGCATTCTGTATTTTATTGCGTTGTTTTATATTTTTTTGGGCTTGGCCTCATGTTAGCTGCTCTGAGTCCCCATTGGGGAGATGGTGGCGGGGTATAAATAAAGATTATTATTGTTGTTGTTGTTGTTGTTATTATTATTTGGTTTTGTATGGTTTTTATATTATTTGCTAAATGTTTTAAATTGTATTTTATGTTGTTGGGGGCATTGAATTGTGAGGACTGTAAACCGCCTTGAGTCATCCTGAGAAAGGCGGTATATAAATACAGTAAATAAATAATAAATCCTTGTTGGAGACTTCTCTCATGTCCCCACATAGGGAGCTGGAGCTGATAGAGGAGCTCAGCTGGCTCTCCCTGGATTTGAACAACTGACTTATCCATCAGCAGTCCTGTTGGCACAAGGGTTTAACCCATTGCACCACCGGGGACTCCTTCCAAATCTCTGATTCTACTGCTCTTACCTTGAGCTGCTGTTGCTGGTCTCGGAGGAACTCTTCCGCCAGGGCCACCGCCTGAGAACAGGCCTGGGGACAATGGCTCCTGACCCAGCTCTGCATCTCCTGAGGTAAGATGGTCAGAAACTGCTCCAAGATCAACAACTCCAGGATTTGCTCCTTGGTGCGTTTCTCCGGCATCAACCACCGGTGGCAACATTCCCGGAGTCTCCGACAAATTTCGCGGGGACCCACCGTCTCCTGATAGCGCAGCATCCGGAAGTGGCGACGCTGGGCTTCCGCCTTGAGAGGGTCTTCCCCCAGGACCACCTCCTTGGCCACCACCCTGTGCTCTCCACCGTCCGGGCCCTGAAACGCCAGGCCGTTGTCCACCAAGAGCTGGGCCACCACTTCTCCATTAGGCCACTGGCTGCCCTCAGCGACCACCCCGCACAAGTCCCACGGCACCGGCTTCGATTGTTGTTGGAGTCCACACTCGACAGGAAGGGGCTGGACGGCCTTCAAGACCTCCTGCCACTGGGCCTCCCAGCGCTGGGCCAAGCCTTCGTCGGAGCCTTGGACCAAGTCTTGCGGGGCCACCCAGCCGAGGAACTCCCCAATGGTCCCCACCTGAATGACACGAGGGGTGATCCTTTCTCCTTCCACCTCCAGAGTCTTTGTGGGGGCTTCCTCCCCTCTGTTCCTATCAGAGTTCACTCCATGCTCCAAGACGTTTTGGAAAGAGAGGCTCACCGCTCCTCCAGGCGTCAATTCAGTAGCCATATTGCTAGCCAATGCTCACACACAGGCAATGTGCCTTCTGCGGAGGGAAGAACAGCCTCTTGATGTCTACCGACTCCAACCGTACCGGACCAATACTTCTTAAATGTTACTATAGTAAGGCTTCCCACTCAAAATAACCAAATAAATATTTGCGATTATCCAGTCTAACGGTAGCTAAATGGCCAGGATTGTGACAAAAGAGCCTCCGCTTAGACATAGTGCGAGAAATGCACATCTTTACGGGCTGATTCCATTGGATCTCTTGGTGACGCTCCCAAAATCGGAAGATCTCCAGTTGAAGAGATAATACATGCTTAATTTGAAAACTAGCAAAAGATGGGATTCAGTTCCCTTGAAGGAAAAAGAAACAAAATATGATAAATATCCAAGTGTAAGAAATACAGTTTGATGGCTTGTTCTGATAGAAGAACCAAAATTTACTAAAATATTCTTAATTACGCTATCGTAGGATGTTCTTGTACAAGTTAAATTACCCTAATCCAAAATAACTTGGCAGTAGAAGCATTCTGTAGTTTGGATTCTGGAATACTTGCATATACTTAATGAGAGATTTGGGAGGTGGGACCCAAGTCTAAATATGAAATTAGTGTATATTTCATTACAGGGGTCTGTCAGGGGTGATTTGAATGCAGTATTCCTGCTTCTTGGCAGGGGGTTGGACTGGATGGCCCATGAGGTCTCTTCCAACTCTTTGATTCTATGATTCTACACCTTAAACACAGATCATGAAATAATAATAATAATAATAATAATAATTATTATTATTATTATTAGAAACACAACAAGATGAGTCCACAGCAGACACTCTGCTGGCTGTTGAATTGGATCACACGTCGGACACTTCTCAAGTGTCTAGGACTGTGTGATGTATCGGCGAATGATGCGTGCAGATCCCAGTAAGGTGGCCTTTGAAGCTGACAGATGGTAATTTTGTCGTCGTCGTCGTCGTCATCATCATCATCGTCATCATCATCATCATCGTCATCATCATCATCACTAAAGAGGATTTAAAGATTGAACTGCAAAGACTCTGGCACAAGCCAGTCAAGGTGGTCCCAGTAGTGATTGGCACACTGGGTGCAGTGCCTAAAAACCTTGGCCTGCACTTAAGCACAATCGGCGCTGACAAAATTACCATCTGCCAGCTGCAGAAGGCCACCTTACTATGATCTGCACGCATTATTCGCCAATACATCACACAGTCCTAGACACTTAGGAAGTGTCCGACATGTGATCCAATACAACAGCCAGCAGAGTGATCTAGTCTACTGTGGACTCATCATGTTGTGTTTCAAACAACAACAATAGTAATAATAATAATACTTCTCATCTGCTTCTCCCCACGGCCTGAGACAGGCCACAACACTGCTAAATCACATTTTTTTTTACTATTTTGTCCACAGGAAAACATTTATGTATATTGAAGTATCAGAAAGCAAAGGTTTTGTATCTGTGAGTATATTGAATTCCATAATATTATTATTATATTTATATTTCCCCAGAGCCTTTTTGTTGACTTCCAGGGCCAGAGAAGCAGATGGCGAAAATAGAAGAACCGCCTGGCTCAGGGGAGCGTGCTCGCTCCATCAATGTTTAACAGTTTCACAAATGCCCAGCCAGTGCTAGAAGGGACAGAGAGTTTCATCTATGCTGACGATCGTGCCATCACCACTCAGGCAGGGAGATTTGAAAAGGTTGGACAGAAGCTCTCCAGAGCTCTAGGTGCTCTTACTGCCTATTACAGGGAAAACCAGCTGATTCCTAATCCATGTAAAATGCAGACATGTGCTTTTCATCTTAAGACCAGACAAGCATCTCGAGCTCTGAGGATTACCTGGGAAGGAATCCCACTGGAACATTGCAGCACACCCAAATACCTGGGAGTTACTCTGGACCGTGCTCTGATTTACAAGAAACACTGCTTGACTATCAAGCAAAAAGTGGGTCTCTCTCTGTAAACTACAACTCCCATGAGCAGTTCAAGTGGTGTCCCAGCTGCATTGATTACATAGTAGAGATGATAGTGGAAGTTGGAAGGTTGCTGCTTTTTGGAAACCTGTCTCCCTGGCATCAAGCCAGAGCTTATGGAAAGCCCATCATCCCCCAAAAAGAATGTGCTGCTGGGGGCAATGGGTGCAAAGGGAATTGCTGGTTAACGCCGCCACCAAAGTGCGGTGCAGGACCTTTTATTTATTTATAGATAGCAGTGGGTTCGGATTACAAGAAAGGAGACTCCAAGTAAACATTGGGGGAAAGCGCCTTGATGCTACGAGTTGCCAGAAAGTGGAACAGAGTCACATTGGAGGGCCTAGCACAAGCATGGGCAAACTTGGGTCCTCCAGGTGTTTTGGACTCCAACTCCCACAACTCTGTGCGCCTTCTTCCCATTGCATTCCAAAAGAGATCAGGGTCAAAAAGGGTTTGCAATCTTTTCCCAGATATTGTCGAAGTCTTTCATGGCTTGAATCACTGAGATGTTGTAGGTTTTTTGGGTTATATGGCCATGTTCTAGAAGCATTCTCTCCTGATGTTTTGCCTGCATTTGTGGCAAGCATCCTCAGCAGTTTTGAGGTCTGTTGGATGAAGAAAGAACTCTTCTGTTTGAGGCAGGTGTGCACGTTGCAATTGGCCACCTTGATTACTATTGAATGGCCTTGCAGCTTCAAAGCCTGGCTGCTTCCTGCCTGGGTAAACCTTTGTTGGGAGGTTGTTAGCTGGCCCTGGACTTTCCATAGGTATTTTTCTAGTTTCCAACAGACCTCACAACCTCTGAGGATGCTGCCATTGATTCAGGCAAAACGTCAGGAGAGAATGCTTCCAGAACATGGCCATATAGCCCGAAAAACCTAGATAATTCAATCCTATCTTTATTATATTTTATGGCTGCAGATGCAACAAAGTAAACAACATTCTCTGTGCACCTTTTTCCTATTGCAATCCAAAAGAGATCAGAGTCAAAAGAGAGTAGGATTTGCAATCTTTTTCCTGATAGTTTTTTTTTAATTTATTTTTTGGCTGCAGATGCAACAAAGTAAATAGTATTCTCTGTGCACCTTCTTCCTATTGTATTCTAAAAGAGATCAGGGTCAAAAGAGAGTAGGATTTGCAATCTTTTTCCACATAGTTCAATCCTGTCTTTATTATTATTATTATTATTATTATTATTATTATTATGGTTTCAGATGCAACAAAGTAAACAACATTCTCTCTGCACCTTTTTCCTATAGCAATCCAAACGAGATCAGAGTCAAAAGAGAATAGGATTTTCAATCTTTTTCCTGAGAGTCCAATCCCATTTTTATTTTATTTTTTGGCTCAGATGCAACAAAGTAAATAATATTCTCTGTGCACCTTCTTCCTATTGCATTCCAAAAGAGATCAGGGTCAAAAGAGAGTAGGATTTGCAATCTTTTTCCACATAGTCCTATCTTTATTATTATCAATCCTATCTTTATAATTATTATTATTAATTTGGTTGCAGATGCAACAAAGTAAACAACATTCTCTCTGCACCTTTTTTCCTATTGCAATCCAAAAGGGATCAGAGTCAAAAGAGAGTGGGATTTGCAATCTTTTTCCACATAGTTCTTTATTATTATTATTATTATTATTATTATTATTATTATTATTTGGTTGCAACCAAGTAAATAATATTCTCTGTGCACTTTCTTCCTATTGCAATCCAAAAGAGATCAGAGTCAAAAGAGAGTGGGATTTGCAATCTTTTTTCCAAATAGTTCAATTCTAGCTTTATAATTATTATTTTGGCTGCAGATGCAAACAAGTAAATAAACATTCTCTGTGCACCTTCTTCCTATTGCATTCCAAAAGAGATCAGGGTCAAAAGAGAGTGGGATTTGCAATCTTTTTCCACATGTGTTTGCAGGTGCAACAAAGTAAACAACATTCTCTCTGCACCTTCTTCCTACTGCAATCCAAAAGAGATCAAAGTCAAATGAGAGTGGGATTTGCAATCTTTTTTTCCAGATAGTTCAATTCTATTATTATTATTATTATTATTATTATTAGTATTATTATTATTATTATTTGGTTGCAGATGCAACAAAGTAAACATTCTCTCTGCACCTTTTTCCTATTGCAATCCAAAAGTCAATACTATCTTTATTATTATTATTATTATTATTATTATTATTTGGTTGCAGATGCAACAAAGTAAACATTCTCTCTGCACCTTTTTCCTATTGCAATCCAAAAGTCAATACTATCTTTATTATTATTATTTGGCTGCAGATGCAACAAAGTAAACAACATTCTCTCTGCACCTTTTTCCTATTGCAATCCAAAAAAGATCAGAGTCAAAAGAGAGTAGGATTTGCACTCTTTTTCCACATAGATCAATCCTATCTTTATTATTATTATTATTATTATTATTATTATTATTATTATTTGGTTGCAGATGCAACAAAGTAAACAACATTCTCTCTGCACCTTTTCCCTATAGCAATCCAAAAGAGATCAGAGTCAAAAGAGAGTAGGATTTGCAATCTTTTTTCCAAATAGTTCAATTCTAGCTTTATAATTATTATTTTGGATGCAGATGCAAACAGGTAAATAAACATTCCCTGTGCACCTTTTTTCCTATTGCAATCCAAAAGAGATCAGGGTCAAAAGAGAGTGGGATTTGCAAAAACCCAAGCCTTCTTTTTCCAGGTACTTCAATCATTCCCCCCTTAATTTATATTTTAGGGGTGCAGATGCAACCCTTCCCCAGCCTTTCCTCCACCTGATTGAATGCCCTTTTTGCATTTGCAAGAAAAGTGAGTGCAATCCTTCCTTACCTGCTTTGCAGCCTCTCCATAGCTGCTGCCTTGCTGCCTTGCTTGCTTGCAAGCCACTGCCTGGCTAGCAACCTTCTTGTTGTTCTTTCTGCTCGTTTCCTGCAAAAGGGAAGGAGAGTAGA